ATGCCCTCCCAATCTCCCTTTGCAGAGAGGAAACACTGGGAGGCTGCCAGATTTTTGAGAAAAATATGTAGCACTTTCAAATAAAAAATAATAATAGGTAACCTAATATGAAGACTTGAAGACCTATGCCAGCACCGATCATATTAATTGATACATCACCAAAAATTATCTAGATATGGCGCAAATCTCAATGCAAATATGAATTGAAAACTTTCAAAATTAAATTCAGGATCATCCAAACTTTGATTTGAACAAGCTCGTTGTCAATTAGAACATCTCAGGGAGACAAACCCAACTACACCAAATTCAATCCAATTCGAGCCCAAATGGTTCCAAATCAAAGGATCAAAGCCTATCTAGATGCCTTAAAACACTAACTGAATGACCAAATGATATTCAAATATGGCATGCTTATAGTTCAATCGAGCGGCTCGACGAGACGAATCCAACAAGACCAAGATGGCCTAATTCTGACATCATATAAGCACATAAATGCTTAACAAATGCTCTTTGATCGAGGGGGTCAATTTAGGCCATCCGATGGAGCACTCCAAATTTCCCCAGATATTCTCTATATTTAAGGGGCATGTCACTCTCAAAAATCTATAAATAGGCCCCAACATCCCACATAAAAAGGGGCTTGGAGCCTTTGGGAGGAGGAAAAGGAGAAGAGCATTAAGACTTGAAGAATCTTGGAGCTCCACCTCGACAACACCACTGACGAATCTGCGTTACCATGTCAGCAATGTCGCCACTGCTATTCCTCTATCCGACCATCGTCACCCGACTACGGTCCTTCCGACCATTGTCACCCACCAACTAAGACCTCTGTCACCCGCAAACTACAGCCATTCCGACCATTATCTCCCATTGACTACGATCCCTCTGACTAACATCACCCGCTAACTATGGTCCCTCCAACCACCTTTGCTCGTCGACTATAATTCTACTGAACAAACAAACATGTTAACACTCTTTTGATAACAATTACTATGTAATGAATTATATACAATGTGTATTTGCTACATTAAGCCAGCACCCTCCTCTGAGGAAGATATTTTTTGTAATCAACCATCAATATTAGTGGATTCATTCAAACTGGATCAAACCTGATGGTTCTTTTCCTTTTCATGATTTTTCATGTAAAAATCTTGTTGTCTCTTATGAATGTTACACCCTGCTCTTTTATCCGTCTGTATGTTCGGATCTACGTACAAAGCTATAACGCTATACACTACGGCCACAAAAATTCCAGGACGTAACAATACTGAAGCCCTCGACTATCAAATTTTTGATCTGGCCCAGCGATTGAAAGGCCGAGTTCCCTACCAACCTCCCTCGCGGGGAGTGCACACTGGGAGGATGTCGGATTTTTGAGAAATAAAAATAGAAAAATAAAATATATTTTAAATAAATAAAATATTTTTTATGAGAGGAATTGAAGAGCAATTTAAGAATATTAAATTCAAATAATATGAAATTAATTTAAAAACTTAAATATAATTTAAAATTAAAATTTTAATTAATTAATTTAATTTAATGATTAAAAAATAAAATAAAAATACACAATTAACTAAATTTTAATTTATAATTAAAAATCTACTTTTAATTAAATAATTAATTACATAAATGAACAAATAAAATAAACAAACATGATAAAATAAAATTTCTTTTAATTGATTGATTAATTAATTAATTTAAAAATATAATGAATTAAATTTTTTTAATTAATTAATGCAATAAATCAAATACAAAAATAAAAAAGACAAGAGAGGGGAATGTTTATGCTAAACACAAAATCAAACCCAACTCAAACTACAAACTAAACTAAACTCAATTCAAACTACAAATTCAGCTCAAATTTCAAACAAAACTATAAAGAACAAAACTCCAAAAAAGCTCCAATAGTGTGGGCTCCAAACGCCTATAAAATAGATAAACAAAAGCAAATTCAAACTTGTAAGCAAAGCAACTGTACAAAAGGAAAATTCAAAGTGCTGCAACTAAGCAGTGGTGCTGAGGCAAAAGGAAAGCTATTGAAACGAGTGTTTGCTCAAGAAAAATGGCGCTTTGGCGTGAATCCCTCTTTTCAAATTTAGGATTTCATTCTCCTTAAGGCAGATTGAGTTTTAATTAACCATATTTCCCCTTAGAATTGTATCAAAGTTTATTTAAATCTAGGACCTTACTTCCTATGAGCGCAAACCCTCATAATTTATTACCCCTCTTTCTTCGTAGGAGAGAACTCTCGATTAAGGATTAATCATTTAAAATAGCTTTGGAATTTTACATTTTAGTCTCGTTTGTTGGGGGATGGAGGTAGACACGATCAAGATTTCATGGTTCCGTCGTCTCAGGAATATCATAGGTTCAGTCTATCAACACTAACAATCGTTGATCGTAATGTTCAAAAAACCTGATTAATAGCCATAGGTTGCCTCCTCTTAAAGATCCTGAATAAACTGTAGTAGTTATATATGACTTTTACTTTTAAGGTGGTTTGTGGCTTATATCTGTTAGAATACCCATTAATTAAATTAGTTTGGGGCGTATAGCTCCATTTAGGAGTTGCCTTCGAAGTTGATTTAGGTCGGGGCTTATGGCTCCACCTAGGAGTTGCTCATATGTATGAATTTAGTCGGGGCTTGCGACTCCACTTAAGAGTTGCCCGGGAATTTTATTTAGGTCGGGGCTTATGGCCACTTTTAGAACTTGCCCGAAAGATTTGGTTTAAAACAGGGCTTATTGCTTCCCTTGGGGTAAGTCTTACAACTTCCCTTAGAAGTTGCTTGTAGTTTTGATTAGAGGTAGGTCTTACATCTTCCCTTGAAAGTTGCCTATAGACTTTTGTTAGAGATTGGTTTATTTTTTCATTTAGAAATTGCCTATAGTTTGATTAGGGATAGGTTATTTCATTTAGAAAATTTTCCCTAATATATTAGTTCAAGCAGGTCATACAAGAAGTTGCCTTGAAGTTTTTGTTAGAGATAGGGATTAAAGCTTCTTTTAGAAGTTGTCTATAGTTTAATTTGGGTAGGTCTTGCGGCCTCTATTGGAAGTAGCATGTTTGTTTTAATTTGGATAAGTTTTACAACTTCTCTTAGAAGTTGCCTATAAATTTATATTTTGGACAAGTCTTATGGCTTTTATTGAAAGTAGCCTGGCAATTGAATTAGGATTTTTTTACTTCCTTTGAAAGCTCTCCCAGTGAATTAGTTTGAATAGGATTTACTACACTCAGAAGTTACCTATTAAGTTTGGCTTAGGGTGGTTTTAGTAGCAGATACTTAGCATTGTGCTTCTCTACTGCCTTAGCACTAATATTTTTTCTTTGGTACTACTTTTTCTTATTTTAGTAGTTTCTCTTTTTAGCACTGTAGTCTTTGTTATAGTAGTTTTTTTTTTCTTGCGCTGTAAATTTTGTTTACATAACTAAGTTAACCATTGTTTGTTTGTTTGCTTACAAGCATTCAGAGCTCGCACTGCTTTGGAGCTTACACGAGAGTTTTCGAGCTTTGTATTTAGTTGAGTTTGATGAGAGTTGGGTTTGTTTTGTTTTTGTTCATGTATAGTTTGATTGTACAGGAGGTTTTAGTGCAAACATTATTCTCCATTATCTCTTTCACATTTTAATTAATTAATTAATTAATTAATCAATTTTAAGAAATTTTAATTTGTTGCAATTAATTAATTAGCTAGTTAATTAATTTAAACGAAAGGAGAGTGAAATCAAAGTAAATATTCCTAAGTTCAAACTAAATCAAATCTACATGCAACTTCCAAAGAAAGCATTGGGACTTACTCCTAACTACTTTGTTAGGGAACTTGCTAAGCAAAGTAATAAATCCTATAAATCCCAAATCAAAACTCTATGTTACTTCTAAATAGAAGCAGTAAGACCTATTTTTAATCAATTCATTAGGAGATCTTCAAAATGAAGTAATTAATCCTAAATCAAGTTCAAACTAAACTTTAATAAAAGCAGGCAACTTCTAAGAAAAACCATAAGTCTTACCCCAACCTAAATCTCCGAGCAACTTCCATGGAAGCAGTAAGACCTATTTCTAATAAAAATTACATGCAAATTTCAATAAAGCGGAAAGGCCTATTCTAACCAATTGTTCTAGGCAACTTCTAATAAAAGCAGTTAGACCTATCACAAACATAAATGACTAGGCAACTTGTAATAGAAACAGTAAGACCTATCCAAACTAATCAGAATAGCTCATGCAACAGGTCTTGTTATTTAAATAGGTTCTTCTAGGCCAATTCTTTGTGAAACAACATCCATCTTTCGCCATCATCATTTCATTCAACTAAATCAGCTTGTGGATCATATAACGTGGTCAACGAATTCATCGACCATGCTTTTTCTAGCATCTCAGCAATGAATATAATTTTTGGCATAATTTGTACAATATAACCTTATTGAACACTAACTTGAAAGAAGGTTCATCTTTCCTCACCCTCACAAACATCAAGTAGACGCTAAGATGTTCAGCCATTCTAGAATTGGATGTTCATTCTTTGTTCTGACAGAGTTAAAGTAGCACGATCTAACATTCTCGATTATTTTGAAAGTGATGTTTAAAAAAATTTTAACTGCTGCACAATCACAGAAGATTAAGAAGGCAAAAATGTCCCAAAAGCATTTCAGAACATTTCACATTCATGTATGAATAGTTGTTTCTATATATTCAAATCATATAGAAGTCATTTGCAGATGGAATTTTACATATTAAATATATAGAATTAAAATAAAAGGCATTTTACTGCTTTCACACTCATAATCTGGTACCTATGAATGAAATCTGGGAAAGAATAAAAGTAATCAATCCAACATAGGAGCTTTCTTAACCTCGTTAAAATCATGAAGGAGATTCCCCGTCTCCCGTTATGTACTCATCTAGTTGAACTAAAACTTATGTATAATAAATAAAACTATTTCTTCTAACTGGCCATAGATCAGATTACTAAAGCATCAACCAATGCGTACTAACCTGGATGTGATCCAGAACAGACCTAGCAGAATTCAACGAAATCCCGCGTTCAGCAGAAGGACCACCACACACAATCCCTACCCTCAGAGGCCTTCCCTTCACTCCATTCTTCTCCTCCAACCACCATTCTCCCTTATCCTCGACCACCGCAGCAGCCTCAGCAGAGGCTCGAGGAACCCTAGCCCAGAATTCTCTTGCCGGACAACGATTTGCTTCCAAGGAGAATCTGAAGCCTGGAAGACTCGGAGAAGAAGCAAAACACCCGAGGTTGGCGGTAAGAACCTCTTTAAAGCGATCGCCTCTCCTTTCATTGCGAGATACGAAGCGAAGAAGCGAAGAGTTGGAGAGAGAAGCCATGGCCGGAGAAATCTAGAAGTTCTAGGATTTCTGAAGGTGGAAAGAAATTTGGGTTTTTCAGAACACTTGAAGTGAAGCGGAGCGTCGATGGCGACAAAAAGCGATCGAACCTCGCTTTTTTTGTTTTTCTTCTGGACATCGTTTTCCGATCGTCGTTTTCGTAGAGTATTTGAAGAACAGTCCGGAAGCTTGGAGTTTCCATGAAATCCTATCCCATCTGATACTTTACGCTTACGCTTAACGCTCAGACGTGTTGCGAGCTTCTATTTTTATATTATTTTATTTTTTTAATTAGCTAATTTACTTGATAAAAACTTTAGAAATTATTGCGAAAATTTTAAGATCGAATTTAAAGTATAATATATATTATTATTTATATATTTCTTATAATCTAGACGGTGTAATCTTATATAAAAATGTAAACTCTAGTGAAATATATTTAAATGCTTTTAAATTTCTAAAAAAATTATTGATATTTTTTTTTTTTAATATCAAATTTATACTTTGAACCTTAACTTTAATAGAAATCAATTAAAGCTATTTATTATACTTTTCTTAAATTAAAAGTAGTAACAAAAATGAGAGTTTAAAGGTTTTATTTGGGCAATTTTAGCTTTTTTTATTTTTTTTTATTTTTAATAGCTATTTTTTCAATCACAATTTCTAAATGTATTTTAAAAATAACTTTTTAAAGACAAAATTTTAAAATAGCTATGAAAAAGCTATCTTCAAACACATTTAGGATAATATTCTTAGAGGATGATGACTTATGATTTTAGATCTATCTCAAAACCAAGATCTAAGTTGGGCACTATAGAATGGTAAGAAAATCCTAAGTGATCATTTACTTATGAACATTATTTTTCTCCTCTAGCAAATGTGATTAAATTTTAATTTTAGTTCATTTCTATTGTAATGCATGCTAGTTGAAGTACCACAAATTATGAATGATTGAAGTTTTAAAAAGACTTAAAATAAAATTTTTTACAAGACCAGGCTTCCCCAGGTTCATGAATCCTTATAGGTCAGATTATTTAAACTCTACTCTTGGGTGGTAAGATAATGATAGAAATATAAAAAACAAACATGCGATCTAGAATGGTTTCCGATTTATTTTCTTAGAGCGCTTAGCTTTCAATGTTATTTATTCATAAATTTTATTTTTAAATTATGAGTAGAAAAAAATTTATCCCTAAAAGCCTATTCAAAATTCAGGCACATAAACATGTAAAAAAGAAATCTATGAAAAATATGCAATTTTCACTATACAAATAATGTAAACATATCAATTTAAAAGAGTATAAACATCAAAAGTCCATCTGGAAAATATCACTCAATTATAAACTAGGGTCTACTGAAAGTAAAGGTCATCAAGCTCCAATAATAACATGGATTCTACACCAATGAAATGATGCAAGTATTAAAATAAGGCATTTTGATTTTTCTTCTTCAACTTAGTTCTTTTCTTCTAGTTCCTCCTAGATCATCTTCCTTTCTTCCCTTCTTTATTGTACATTCTCTCAATTAGACATCCAAATGAAAAAGAACTTCCAAATTAAGGATGTTTTATCCCCTTTGGATCCCTAATTATTTGATAAACTGCTTTATTTCAAGTTTTCACAACTCTTTACTTTCACTAAATTACATAATTAGAAAAATTAAAAAAAAAAAACTTAAACTCCATACATGATAGTAAAGTAATTGTATATATAAAAAATATCAATATCACATCGCATCAAAATTATTTGCTAATTTTTAAGTTAAATATATCTTGGCCATGCTTTACTATGAGGGTTAAACAACAAAAACATCTATAAAAATTAAATTGTATTAGTGGTATACAATTAAATCACTCATAACTTACAAAAATATAAATGCTCATCCCAAATCACATCATAAGCAATATGGTATAAACATAATAGCATAAGCATTAAAAAATTCATCACATCAAACCATAACAACTAGCACTCATTCACATTCTCATCATTTTCATATTACATAAAAGCACATGAAAGGAATAACTTCCTAGCCTAAAACTAGTGTTGGTTATCCTAATAAGTCTCTACATGTTGTGTGATTTGGATATGTCCTTGGATTTATTATTCTTTAAAATTTTCTAAGGGTTGAATTTGGTTTGTTGAAAGCTAAGGGAATTATAGTTTAAGTTTTAGTATTTTTTATGTTTTAGGATTTATTTTAGGATAAATTTTAATTGTTGAATTTGATTATTTATTAATTGGTTCTTTTTGGTATTTTGATTAGTCATTTAAAGCTTTCAATCCAATACACATTTGTCTTCATAAAAGGAGTCAAGCAAGTTGTGTGAGAGATTCAAATGTCTAAGTATTTCATTATTGAATTTTATAATTATTTAAATTAAATAGTAATTATCTTTGTTAAATTAGAGCTATGAGTTTCATTTCACCCTCATTGGAGCTAAGTAAATAGTCTTGTAAGCTTGGGTTAACCAACGATTACTTATTTAAGTTTGACGGTTGGTTGATTATTTTTAATTAATTTAATTTATAGATTACTAATGTGTAATATTTATAATTGACATTTATATTATATCAACTCATTCATGGCATTGTCATAATGGGTACGAGGACCAAGGCTTTCTTAGAACATGTAGCCTCATATTATAAGATAATTCAGCCTAAAAATTTCATTGACGGATTATGAAGAGTGATTATCTTTTATTTGATTTAATTCATTAAGTTAATAATTTGTTGAGTTTTAATGATTTATTAAATTTTCCTATTTATTGTATTATTTAATTAATTAAATTTGGCTAAGTATTGATTTTTTTTTAATTTACTTTGAATTCTAAAAATTTCTATTTTTTGTTTTTAATACTTGACCAAGAGATGAGTCCAATGCCTTTGAGTTTGTGTATTTGAAGTTTCCTAAAATTTGCTATGGCTTTTACAAGTTCAGTCTAATTAATTATTTAATTAGAGTCTCCCCAAATATCATTGATCACTCCTAGTGATGATAACAAATGTTTAAAATTATTTTGATATTTTTAATATTTTTTAATTATTTATTTTAAGTAATTAATAATTTTTTCTTATTTTTAAATTAATTTTTATTTTGATTTATTTTCACATGGCTTTTATTTTTTTCTGTTGAGCTCTTAATTCTGAGTAGCATGACACTTAGAATCTATTTTTAGATTTAACTTGGATTAATTATAAATTTTAGAAATTCTTAGGTTAATTATGTATGTCAAACTTGGTGCATTGGAGACTATTCAAATAATAAGATAGAATAAATTGAGGTGCTACGGTTGGTGCACCGTTAACTAGCTCCAGTGAGGTGAATCCTAATACTTAAAGCCCTTTAGGTCCCTATAATCCTTGCATGTGATTAGGATTCCCCAAACTTTAGGCCCTTGTAGAAACTCTGCATTTAATTTTTTAAACATGATGTTCCACTAGCAAGTAAGATTTTATTGGTTAGTGACAAAATTAGTATTGTGTAGTATTTATTTATTACCCACACTTAAAATTTTCCCTTTTGATTTTCTTAGAATCATAGTGGGCCTAATAAAATAAGTATGTTAATAAAAATGAGATAAGATAATTAACCATGAATAAATTCAATATATCATACTCTAATAAATAAAAATTATTAAAGAATTTAAATCAAACAAATTAACACTATACTCTAAATAAATTAAATTAAATAGGCATTATAAAATATTAATTAAATTCTAAAATAAAATTAAACCATTAAATTTAAATGATTAAATAACATTAATTAAATTCAATTTTAATCATCTCAAACAAATAAGACTTAATAATTAACATAATTAATCTTGATTTAATTGAATGAATTCATATGTTAAATACTAAATAAATAACTAAAGGGCCTTTCATGCTTTATATTTGAATCTTTTGAGGTCATATTAACATTGGATTTATGGGTCTTTATTAAATTTTATGTAATAAAGGTCTCTTATGCATTGGATTTAACTTTATTTGGAAGATACATATGCATTGCATACGGGGTCTTTAATAAATTTTAAATAAACTAAAGGCTTTCATATATTGTGTTAACCTTCTTTAGGAAGGCACAATTGCATTGGATTATAAAGTTTTTAATAAATCTCTAATGAATTTAAATAAATTTAAAATTTGATAATTAATTGAATATAAATAATCAATATAATTATAGGGTAACCCGAGCTTGCGAGGCTAATAAGTTAGCCCTAAGGAGGGTGAATTAAACCTCATAGCTGTAGTATAACAAAGGTTATTATTGTTTAATTTAAATAAATTATCATCCAAATCAATAATTAAAAAAAAAAAAAGACTTCAAAGCCTTTATATATTATGTTTGATTCTTTTTGGAGAGCATATATATATATATAGACAAGACTTTATATATATTGTGTGTGTCTTTTTTTAGAGAGCATATATATATATATATTGAAAGACATTAATAACACCTCACTTGGCCCACATTATTAAATTTCAAAGACATTAATAACATTTTTATATATTAAAATTTAAACTCAAATTAACACCTCACTTGGCACACAACCAACAAATAACTCCCAATTTGAATAACAAACAATTAATCTCCTATAACATATTAAAAACACATGACATTTTTCACACACTAAAATTTATTTATTAGGGCCACTAATTCTAGTTTGATGCTAGACCATAGTGCATTTTGGTGAGATATAGGTACTTTTACCTCAAGGGTATCCTTGGTATATTTATTTATTTATTTATTTATTTATGCACTCTGATGTCATATATATTTATTTATGCACTCTGATGTCATATATATATATATATATACTCTGATGTCATATATATTTATTTATGCACTCTGATGTCATATATATTTATTTATGCACTCTGATGTCATATATATTTATTTATGCACTCTGATGTCATATATATTTATTTATGCACTCTGATGTCATATATATATATATATATATATATAT